AGCACGGCGTCGGAAAACCTGCCAGCAGTCTTCTCAGAAGGTCAGCGGAAGCTCGCGGGCGGAAGATGGCGGAAGCTTTGTTTTTTCAACTACGTTCATACACCTGTTTTTTTTTTAACGGCTCAGATGAGCTCTGATCCCATGATGGTCATGTACACCTGCGATTTCGAGATGAGGCCGCCTACATACAGCACGATGTTAGCATCCTTACAGCAGCCTCAGAAAAGGGCGCATGCCTCCAAGAAACATCCATTTGCAGGAGCTTTCTCCGAACCGCAGCCGGAGGATGATCCGGTTGAACTGATGCTTGCTTGAACAATCTGGGCTTCTGGGGTCCAAAGCCCACATGGCAATGATCTTCTGCAAAGATTCCCTCATAACCCTGCGCGAAGAGTCCCAACTACCTATTTTTGGGCGCATGGAATACTATAGTCCCCGTTTAGTTGCCTTTAAGTAGATAGAATTTGGAATTGCCCAGCATCATAATAAGATCCTCATATTACATATTCTATCTACTTGGGGGGGTTGCAGCGGAATTTGCCAAGCGCACGGAAGACCGGACGGCTTGCCCACACGTGATTCTGGCATGTGGCAGGTTCCCGAAATAGGGGGACCCCACTATAGACCGCCAGTTTAGGGTTTAGGGTTCAAATGCTTATTATAGGGACCCCCCCCAAAAAGGGATCCCTACTTTGGGGAAACCCCCATGTGTCCTGGATCTTGCACCCCCTCGTGCTCAGAGCTATGCTGAGTGTTGCCTGCGGTGTGACTGGAGGAGGGTAGGACTTCTAGGCTTGGGGGTAGCGAGGCAAGTGCTACCCCCAATGCAACATGAAGTATGAAGTTATGGTAGAGAGCTTCGGCATGTGGGTAGTGAGGGAAGTGTTCGCTTTTTCCTCGGTGGCCTCATGGCTTGAAATGTTGCAGGCTCAGTCTGAATGAATGCTGTCTCTTTCCTGGGGATCCAAGAATCCATGTTTACAGTACATACCTACATTCGCCCCCCTCTCTCTCTCTCTCTCTCTCACGCAGGCTCATTGGGCCCTAAAGTCGGTAGATATTAGCTACATTGAGCTATTTGGATCCCTGAATTTTGTTGTGCTTATTGAGGGGGTTCATGCCAAGATCACCGGAAGGCCAGGGAAACAGTGAGCCCTTTTCTTTGGCCGCTTACAGAATTCTTCGTGATTTTCTTGCATCCGTGGCTGTGAACTCCAGAGAGACCACATGGTTGGAATGTAAAGTGCTGCGCCAAGATCTAGAAAACGGTTCATAAACACGCGAGTACGTCAGCAAACGGCGAGCCTACATAGTAGAATGCTAGGCCACGTACATCCGGGATTCCTGCTGCTCTTTCCTTTGGAAAGCTACACCTTTCAGAGTTGCCTGTTCCTTGCTTGCAGCGTCCACAATGGCCATCTCAGGATTTACATCTTCCCAAGGGAGACGGAGAAAGGGCCTCCTGGATGGCATTTACCGGCGGACGGCTTGCAGTAGGAGCCATATAAAGCGCCGCAGCTCCAATCCCGAATGCTGGGGGCTAGGGACTTACTAATATCAGGTCCTAAATTGCTTGTACAATTATGGTGCAGGGTACCCCCACTAGACCTTAGAATCATACTGGTGATCTTTCAGGCCTCTACACCCCTTCTTACGACCTTGATATAAGCACAGCTTCCATTTCATGTTCCATTTTCCTTTCCATAAATTCTCAATGAGTTGGTAACTTTTAAAGGCCCACACTTCGAAGTGTATGTATCCCTATAGCCCCTTAAAAGGAACTTTGGTAGAGGCATATTGGTAATTATCTAGCCGCCTGTAGTAGACTTTACTTGTATGAAACATGGCAGAGTCTACGCACTGAAAATCCTATGGGGTCCTGTTACAGGGTGGGGACAGTATCCAACCCTAAACTATAAATCCTAAACTCTAAAATTTGAATCCTAAACCCTAAACCCTAAACCTTAAATCCTAAACCCTATAAACCCGTTGTAATTTTTTTTTGCAAACCAAGGCGGGGTCAGGAACGACCGGACATGAGGCATCGAAACTGGGCAAAGGCACCTGCCTCACGTGGGATGTGGGCTCTGGGGTTTGCAGCTAAGGGTTTAGGGTTTAAGGTTTAGGGTTTAAGGGTGTAGGGCTTAGGGTTTAAGGGAAGACTGAAGATTGGGTTAGCTTAGAAACCTAGCTTTCACTAGCCCTAGCCTCTGCATGTCGAATCATGCTTCTTAATTTTGGGAGAGTCTCCAAACCTTTGTCATTTGCAGCTTAGCCTGGAGACCCAAGTACCCAAAACTAGGCGCAGGGGATGTCGTCTGGGATGTTGAGCCGGAGTGGTCTATAGGGTTTAGGATTTTGCGATTAGGGTCTTCGGAGAGTCTAGTTTTAAAAAGGGTTAGATGCCTTTGGCGCTTAGGGTATAGGTTTCAGGTGTTCAGGTTTAGCACGCCTTGTCGGATGAAGGTCCGGTGTGTAAGTGTTTCCTTGGCCCATACCAGATCTCACCTTCCTGCTGAGACCATACATGTTTGCAAAGAGAAAAAGGGTTTAGGGATTCAGGGATTCAGGGTTGAGGGTTTATAGGGATTCAGGGAAAAGACGCTGTAGCTGGTGGTTTATAGGGCAATGGCTTAGTTGTATGTATCGTCTTTAGAGTAGGAACCTGCCAATTCCTTCTGGCAGAAGGGAAAAGGTGTTGAGTGTAGGTAGCTCCATTCAGCTCATTGAAAGGTCCCCCCTACGATCCTCTTTAAACGCTGCATAATTTTGTAAGGTCCCATAAGGTTTCATAGGGTACCCTGCCCTTCTGAGAGCCCATGGAGCTAACAAAACCAACAGGACCTGATCGACCATGAAGTCCTGGGCAAGCCTTTGTCGTACGCGCAGCAGGTCGCAGCGGGCATTTTTGCTGGGGCCCGCAGGGTTCATGTAGGTATATTTTGCATGTATACTTGCAGTACATGGGGGTTCCTATATAGTTACTTTGGGGCCCAAGCGTATACTACATGGCTACTCGGGCGTTTTCCCTGCATGCGGGTTATGGGGTCTCGGGGCGCGTGTGGGCCTGGCAATTTGCCTCATATGTTGGGTGATGTTGGGTGGGCCGTGGGATCCTACTCGCCATGCTTGCCTTCCTTCTGTTTTTGTTGTTTCTTAAGAGCGTAATCAGGCAATTAGGCACTGTCTGAGGAGTTCCCATGATGAGGGATTCAGATAAATCTTTTTGCGGGTGCTTCGGTCAAGAGTTTGGGCGCCTTATGACTGCAACGCTGGCTTTATGAGGCAAATTTGTCTTGAACTCTTGTGGGGATAAAGGTGAAATAGACGGGTAAGTAGTGATTTACAGCAATCCTGCGGTGCATAGAGAACGGGGAGTAAGCCTGAGATCCCAGACGTTTTTTTTCTTTTTTTAAAAAAAGTTTTTTGGCCTTCAATCTTTCATCTGCTGATGGGGTACATGATTCCAGAGTTTGGGTTGGGGTCTGTGGTGTTGGCATCTTAGGAAACGTAAGATTAGCATCCCTCTGCCCCTCGAAGCATGGAAGGCAGCTGCCAACAGGGATTTGATTGTAACCCTAAGCATCAAAATCACCTAAGAACCCTATACTGTATGGTCATTTGTCCCAAATTCCTTCAAATGTGGATCCTTAGATGCTCAGGACTTAGGGTAAAGGCTTTATAAGGGTCTGGCCCGGGGGGGGGGGGGGAACGTTTCGAATGGGTTGCCTCTTTTTTTTTCTTTTCAAATTTCTCATTCTGCTGACATAGTCCCCCTTAAAAGGATGGACATGGGGTATATGGGGACCTTATTATAATATACCCAAAGCCATATTCTATCTACTTAAGGGAGATTATATGTCCGGAGTTGAACTTCAGCAGCTATTGCTTGCTGGACCTTTGGCTCCCTCAGGGCCTCCCATCATTTGATAAGAAAGTTTTGGCTACTCAACTTCCAAAAGCAGGGCACTGCGACTAGAGTTACATATGACAGTTGTAGGGCCCCTGGGTTGGGGTAACCAAGCTCCCCCGTACTATCATTAGCTTACCCTGCAGATCCAAGTATACAAATAATACCGACATTAGACCCCCAAATCTGTAAATTTTGCCTGCATTGGGTTATTTGGATCACTAGGGTTACGATTGATTTCGTGTCATGTGCCCACCGGATCAGGCCGACGAGCCCGAAAGGTACGTTGCGCCACTGCTGCAGCGTGTACTGGCTGCTTCGGTCGCAAAAGACTTTCAAAAGACCTTAAACTCTACATGGCCGTTCATGGGCAGATGATGTAATGATCCCTACTTCTTGGGAACTCTGAACCCTAGTCCTTAGTCCTTATATTCTTTTTACAACCTCCATGTGCGCCCTTTCAAGCCAGGGTCACCACTAGGTAGTAAGCATCCCGCATCCCACAGCAACCAAGGACTTTGTGAAGCGCAGTGGCGGAGAAGTACCGATCCCTACTGCACCTCCTCCCTCTTTAGGGGAGTATATAGGGGAATATTATGGGGGTAGTAAGGGGGATAGGAAGAGGTAAGACTACAGTTCAGATGACGGTATATTTCTTTTTATACAGACGTGTGGGGCGGAAAGCTTCGGTTTTCTTTTCTGTCGGTTAGGGGGTGTCTGGTTTAGGCTTACAGCTCTGGTGCAGATTCGAGAAACAGCACCTTCTTATTCTTTCATGCCCCTGGGGGGTTACGGCTGTTCATGGGCGTTATTAAAAGACTATCAGGCTTTAGGGCTTGAGTTATTGAGGTTACATTGTGCTGTGGTATGTGGGATCCTTTTGCGATACTGCGGCCACATGTCCAGGAGGTGTCACGCTGGTAGCTACTATGTAATTCCTGGAAAGGAGGCCTAACTTGGAGGGTCAGAGGAACTTAGTAATTACGCTAGTAGTGGGGAAACTATAGGGTTGCCATGTGGGTTGTAGGGGTAAGTAACCTACTTACTAAGTCCCCCTGACCCTCTCTGAAGTAGACCTCATAGAACTGCGGTACACTTGTACGAGCAGTATGTAAGCTTCATATGAGGGTGCCCACCTGGTAGCTATCGAAGAACTCCATTGTAGTACCTTTTGGGTGTGCTAGTTTAGTCCTAACCGAAATACATCACATCCAACAGGAAACAAGATCGGAGGGTCCAGATACCTTGCGGGAAGTATTCTTAAGGATTCGCCCAAGTTGACGCCAGGCATGAAGCCCCCTAAGCCCTAAACCCTGAACCCCAAACCCAAAACCTTAAACCCGGAACCCTAGAAGTTGAGGTGCTGAAGATGTTTGGCAAGGAGCTCACGGGAGAGAACGGCCAGATGCTTTTCTCAAGCTTAAAGCCCCGGGCGCCCTCGGACACGCGACACGGGTTAGGTAGGCGGATCGAAGCCCTAAACTCTGAACTAGAAGGCAAATAGGTCTGTAGCATACTGGGTCGTATTGTCGACCCCCTTACTGATGGACATCCCGACACTAAGGCGCATGCTGTTCCGCCATCTTAGAGCAGCAGATCATTTGGCAGTCTGACACACTTATGAGCACAGGAAGTGATATTTGGGGTACACAAAGGAGGAAATGTGATTTTGACAGCCATCATCTTATGGGAGCTTTTTGGAGATTACGAGCTTGAACAAGAGGAACCTGAGAGTGGAAAGCCACCAGGCAAAAAAAGATTGCTGAGGTGGGATGATCCCTTCTTTGGGTTTGAAGGTTTATCACGCATGACGAGTTTTCAGCGATATGTTGATCTTGTTTGTTCTTGTGCACCTTGCAAGACTTTGTGCATAAAGCGCAATGACGCAATTTTGCCACTGAGGACCAATGTGCAGCGAATTCGGTTCCTTGCATGGGCTCCGCACTCAGGAATTAACAAGGTTTGGGGGCTTTGAGCTTGTAGGTATGCTCGGGGCGCATTTTCTTTGAGTGTTGAGGGGCCAGGTGGGAACTTGCCATATGATTTTCGATGTGAGTCACTAACAAGATTACGCTTACCGAGGGGCGACTAAGGGTGGACGTAGGAAACCTCCATCCACTAACTGTATAGGGAATATTGACTGTAGCTGATATATCATTCACTCATATGCCTTGCATATACCATATATCTATATAAAGAAGTGATTCTCGTTTCTGTCCCAGTTGCAGGGCCTGAGGTGCACATTCTAGAGGCCACAGTTACCCCTAGTATCAACAGCTTACGGCTGAGCCCCCGTTCCAAAAACTCAAGGTACCTTTATTATCCTTCTGAGCACTACTTGGAGATGCTGGCTTGGAGGGGCTTATGTACATAGATGTTAACTCCATGTCTGCTGTCCGAGTCTAAGCTTAGAATCATGCAATGTCCAAGTTACTTGCGGGACGTCTTGCCCCGCTGCCTCCCCACTGCAATGATCCAAGCAGAAATCCAGACTCCCAAGCAGTGCGTTTTCTAGGCTTGTTTGGGTTTGTCGATGCGCGCGGCTTAAGTTCTTAGGATTTTGTCATATGAGAGGAGGACATGCTGGTGATCCCGCAACCATGCACTACACAGTCCAATATGTCTGATATGTGAGACAGAAGGTGTTGTCGAAAAAGCTTCTCGCCGTGTCTTTCCCGTTAGGCCCTCATAGAACATCTGGTCTACGGTCTTACCAAGGCCCCCCGAACCACCAAGAAAGCCATGCTAAATTGAAGCCTGAACTCAACGGACTTGTTTGACCCAAAAGTAGACTGCACTCCGGAACCCTTTTCTAATCATCTTACGCTTCCACCCATATCTTATTGGTAGTTTCCATTTCATTTTCCATTATCCCAATATTACCAATAT